CCCCCCTCCACCACACCATTTGCTCGTGATCGAGGTCACGCTGTAAGACGTAATAAATGGAAACTGATATCAAGGAGAAGAAGTGTGTTTGGAAACAGCATTCCACAAATGGATAAACAAAGACATTGATACTTTTTAACCGTATCTAAACATTCTTTTGTGTGAAATTCTTAAACAACCTTTTGTTTTTCGCTGACAAGATTTTAATTGAGGTTTATTTTTGGGATGTAGCACTAAACAATAGTCGTTGAAAGCTGAAAAAAAGAAAATTATTCCAAGACCAATAGATTACAGACGGAAGAGTTTATAGATTGAGGATGTAGCAAATGAGGAAAATTATGACAAAGCTGCATTTGGAGTAAAAAAAAAAAAAAAAGAATGAAAAATAGAAGTTGTCAAATCCGGTAGTTTCGGATTAAAGTGTTCCGTCTATGAACGTAATGATATTCCGTCATCAGGGCGTGACTGTTGTGGTTAAAAGCGAAAAGGTCGCATTTTTCTGCGAGTCATATTTCAGGAGCATTTTGCAGTTACAGAAACGTTTAAGGGAAAGAGAACTCTAGTTGACTTCAATTCACGGTCAAGCTAAAGCGTTCACGAAAATGTCTAAAAACTTTCGAACTTTTGACAGCACAACCACTCTGACTGTGAGTGAAGGCTACGATTTGACGAATCAGCATCACTACTCGAAAAAAAGGTGCCAATGTGCTTGCGGCGCTTTGAATCGGAAAGTCACTTTCCGTGTTTGGCACCTTTTGCTGTTCTTCTTCATCATACTGGTGATAATGTTGTTGGTGGGTCTGTTGGCAGCAATGTATGGTCCTAGAAACTCTACATTCTCTAAAAGAATTGGAAAAGGTAAAGGTAATTTGTTGTCATTTTGTATGATGTTTGCCTTAGGCAATGCCGATAGGGGCCCTCTATCCAATTTCAAGCGAAGGCTGCAATCACGAAATCAAAAGGGAACAATTTAGTGCGAGTTAAGATCGAGCATCAAAAATGTTTTTGAAATCTTTGACCCTATTATACTTGGGTACACAACACTAACTTAGTACCCCATATCCTTCGACAGCAAAGTGTTTTCACGTCAATTCAACAGAGATTGTTTGCATACTGTCAAGAGTCAAAACAGTATCTTTGAAAACTAGAGTTTCCTTTGTTTAAGAAATTTTCGAAACGCAAATTTTTTGTTTACGAGATGACAGTTATATTAATAAGTATGAGACAAACAACATATTCTATCTCCACAAACACTCTTCGACAGTTCTTCAGCTAAAGAGATTTATTTTTACAGACAATCTTGGCCGAATGTCAGAAGTTCTGCGGTGTATCAGTATATTTTGATCAGGCTATCAGAGGCTAGCTCTATCGAAAGCTAAATTCGTTTTCTCCGGCCGTTTTAATCGCTCTTTTCCGACTGCAACATCACAGGTTCCTTTGATTCATCGAAAGAACATTTTTTACAAATAATTCCGTGTTTTGTGAAGCTGTGATCAGCGGGATGGTTTTATAGTTTTCCGTGCAGCAGTTCTCTAATCGATATGTCTAAAACTGCTGTGATGGAGACTATATGCCGGTAGACTCAGTGGAAATGTCACAGACAAATAAAAACTTTATCTTCGTAAACACCGCTAAGGGAGCGACAGATATCTAGTTTACCGTGGTCTCCGTTTCTGCTTCTTCGCTCTGTCTTTGATTAATACTCCTACAGAAAACAACTGATTTATTGAGTGCTCTTTGTTTTATAAAAACTACAAAACAATCTGTAAATAATTGCAAAGATGTTTGCATGGGAAGCGCTTGTTTGAAGGGTCAACGCTGACCCATCTCTTTCGGACTCCAGTCGGAAATGATGACATATTCCATTGAGGGCAGTCACGTATCAGATTTTTACGGTTTCCTTTCGTTGAAAACGTTTAGTATATACCCACGTAATGTTTGTTTCACATTATAAATCGAAATTTATGTTCAAGTTCTTTATCCATGCATTCTATGCCCGCGTTACTGCGCTTCCACATACTGGAATTCGACAAAGTGCCCTTAGTATCAAGATTGCCCGTTTTCATCACGTTTTTATCACGTGAGTTGAAGGAATTGATGAAATGAACGTTTCTCTGCAAGATCGCTATATTTAAAACTAAAATTGTTCTACTGGCTCAAAACTTAGCAAGAGATAAAACTGGCATTTTCAGAAATCATCTTAATTTAATTACCTCTTTTTTTCGGTTTGCTCTCTTGGTGGTCACTAGCTAACAGGAAATCATTACTGTTGTATTTCTACTTTAATTATTTATTTCTGTTGATTACGCAATTATCAGTCACTACTTACTCCCATCAAAGTTATAGATTCTGTTCGTTTGTTTCATTACGATCCGGGCTAAGAACTCTCAGTTTGCAACATGCGAATTTTACTTTTTCAAAGTAATGGCCTCTATTTGATTTTGTAATGGCTTGAAATGATGAAAATCGGAGGGAATACGATATTGTCTTGCCGAGGTTTGTGAAGCGAAACTGTTGCCTAAGGTCACTCTGGCATCCTGTTGCGTCACAACTTCACATGGACAAAAGTCATCTTTATTTGTTCTTATTTCCTCTTATTGCATTCTTTTAATAAAAACGCGATGGCAAATTTAGACCAATTTTAATTTTAACTTTACATTGAGAAACTTTTTATGGACAAAAGTCATCTTTATTTCTTCTTATTTCCTCTTATCGTATTTTTTTAATAATAACAACGCGATGGCAAATTTGGACCAATTTTAAGAAAAAAAAATGTGAAGGTATTTTTTGACATTTCGTGCATTTCTCCTAATTGGGCATCATCTATCAATGATTAATAATTTTTTG